GCCTTCATCCATTGTTATCAAAATCCAGTAACATAATATTATTTTTTTTCATTTCTACATGTAAGGAGAATTGATAAATTTTGTAGGATATTAATTTCCAACTAATTTGACCTTGCCAGCTCCCACAAACAATGATGTCTACATTCTAACAGCTTGTTCGTTCCCTAGTTCTGAAACACACTTCCCTGGAAAATTATCTTCGGTTTTAGGAAGCTGCCCTCTTTATTTGCATCTGAATGGGGTGACAATAAACCTCGTAAATGGTCATTTTCCAATACTCATATATGCTCTTGAAATGTGTAAACTAGCAAATATTTTAAATCAATTTTTTTTATAAAAGGAATCCTTATTCAACCCAGAAAGATCCAAAGTAACAAACTTTGGAAGTTCATATATACTGATACATGTATACAAGTAATCTTTGTCTCCCTTTCAAAGTAGAAAAATAGGTAATAATAGAAGTCAAAATATTTGATTATTCAAGAGATTGTAGAAGCTTCCAGGGACCTAAGGTCCTAAGTCTCCATTTCATATCTTTTAAAAATGTAATTAAATTCAGTTACACTAACTCTTCACGAGTACCATAAACTTTTTTCAAAATTTATCGATAAAGATTGCAGTGCTTTCACAACTTATTGTTACCAAATCTATCACAAAGCTTTAACAGCAATGCCACTGGTAATACCAATAATAAACTCTGACTTACTGGATGTGTAATCAGAGTGAGTAAATTAGTTTTCCTAATTTGTAAAATGAGTGGATTAAGAATTATCTTACAAAACTGTGTAAAGATTAAAGATAACATGTGAAAAGTGTCTGGGACTTAAAAACACTCCAAGAATTGCTATGGGATGATGGTGAATATTACCAGATTCGGATGGTTTAATTTGGTGTCTAAATAACAGGGAAACTACCATAGACTCCCATATGTAAATCATAACATGAAAATAAGAACATTTCCACAAGGTAATCCTTTCCATAAGTGGGTAAAGCATTCAACAATATAGTTAGCAGAGCTAAGAAATTCCTGTATGAAGCTATGCCATTCAGGTAGAATGTGACACCTGGACTCTGAGAATGAGACAAAACAAATAGAATGAAAATTGCAACCAGAAAGATCTCATGTTGTGCAACATCAGAGTCGGAGGATAAAACAAAACTGAAGGATCTTGGGTGGTTCAGCAGCGAAAGTCCTGGGTTCGGTTAGCTGACAGCCACCAGAAGAGTGAAGAAGATCTAGGGACTCCATTACAGTTCCGTTGACTACTGGAAATTGTCCATTCCATCTAAAAATGAAACTAGGCTCAAAGAAAAAAGACTAATATTGTGTGCCACAATGCTGAATGTGGTATCCTTTGATTCAATAAAATCATCTTTTCTCACAGCTATGGGAGTTGCTGCTACCAACTTGCATGGGATTGAGTCAACCAGAGAAGGCAGAGCTCCTATCAGCAGTTTAGTCTATTTTTCTTGTTCACTCTTCAAATGATTTATCCCAAATGGCATTAAGCTTTGTATGAGAGTTCAGTTTGGGTTGCTAATTGGTATGAACTTCTTCAAGTTATTTTCAGAAACCAAGATTCTGCCCTTTGGCAATATAACCGACTAACGCATTCTGCATTTGGTACACAGTCACTAGTTTCTTTAAAATTGTTTATTTGTTACTTAAAATTATCTATAAAGACAGTCTTCATTCTCTAAAAACTTGAAAAGTATTTCTTTTGCAAAGTGTATCACATATGCTATGCATACAGAGTTCCTTAAATAAGATGAGGTTAATGCACAGTCTTAACATTAAAAAATATCTGACTCTGTGTAGCATGGTCTCCAAATGTGTGAAAAAACAACACCATGTGGACTTGTCCTTACCATCATGAAATGCTTAACAACTATCCATCAAGCACTTGAATCTCTACTGGATGCCACGAACTTGCATATTAAAATGTGCCTTTTGTTTTCAAGGAACTCCCTTGTTCTGAGGAATTTATAAGTTGGCAAGGAGACATCATCAAAATTCAAATATACATATAATCTGCGTATGTACAATGTATGTGTATGTCTGTCTATCTGTCTCAAAAGTCAATATATAGAAAATAAACAACCAATTTTAAAAATGGATAAAAGATTGAAACAGATACTTTGCCAAATATTTATGAACAGCAAATAATCACATGAAAAGATGCTGTTCCTCATGAGACAATTAAGGCTGGAGATGGATTTCCCAGCACTGGTATGCTCAATTTTACCAGAGCCCAGGTTCTTCTAATACTTAGACTTTTTGTCAGAACAGCACACAGCCCAGGCAGAGCAAATATTGACAAAATGAGACCATTAACTTTATCAGTTTAATAAATGATCATCATGTTGCTGCTAAGTAGAGAGGTAATTTTTTGGTTAAATTTAAAATGATATATTGCATATAATAAACAGTATGTATTTGATGATGTATTGGCTTTTTAAATTTTCAGAGATATATTCTATTTGAACAGAGAAAGGATTGTGTTGTGTTGCAATAGATGCTGTTGGTGACTTTCCTGTATCATACCAGCCAGGGCGCCCATTCCCCCAACTGCAGCCAGTGCTGAGCTAAGGGCATAGACCTGTTACATCCTCCAGAAACTGGCTCTGGGCTGACTGGAGCCACTTCACAAGGAAGCCTCGGAAGTTTCCACCACCACCATCAGTACCATCACACCCATACCTTATTCCCAACCCCAGCAGTTGACCAAAGAGTCATAGGAAGATGCAAAAGCCTGGCCCCTTTGCTTCAAAGTAGGGCAAGTCTGCAGTGAGATTTAAACTTCCCACAATGAGACCAAGGATCACATCCTGGCCCGACTCCTTCCCCTTCCTTATTCTGCTTCACAATGGTTTTCTGAGAAATGCGCCTCAGTAACTCACATAAACTGAATCCCTGTGTGAGGATAACTCTTTAGGCAACCTCACTAAGACAACTTCATTAGAGTTACCTGCTTTACGTCTTATCTACTGAATGTTTTTAAATAGTTTTCTACTCATTACCCACCAAACTACACAATGTTTTTATTCTGAAAATAGTCTTACAGGTCCTACAGGCACAGTGACTGGTCTAGGGATGGACTCTTGATCCTACCTGGACCACACATAACCCTCCACATCAATGGCAAAGCATGAGAGCCAACAATAAGCATGGAACTGGGCCGGGCCAGAGAGCTCCCCCAAAATATTGACATTACAACTTAGAGAACAGGACAAAGTTGAGAAATATACACTATCATATATTTCAGAATAGAAGCTTTCAGTCTGGTCTTGGAGAAAGAACTCTCTCTCCTATATGTCAAAATTCCACCTAATCTTGGCCCTCCATCCTGTTTCTACCATTTTTCCTGAGAAATCCCGTCTCAACCCTAGCTCTTCAATTCTTCATTCTCTAAATGGACCCTTTTCCTCAGCCTACACAAGCATGCCCATTCTTCGATCACCCAGAAAACCCCTTTACTCTATGCTGTGTTCTCCAGTTCTCCTCTCTCTCCCAAATTACAAACTCGATCTACTAACCTTCACAAGTGAGCTCACCCACATTTCACCTTTGACTAACCAACTATAATCTAGTAATTGACAAATTTTTATCCAGCCCAGAACTCTGCCCACTGCTTCAGAATCATAAGTCCAATACCTCCTTACACCTCAATATCTTAATTTACATGTTAGAGCCAACATGTCTATAATTGAGTTAACCAACTCTTTCATTCCAAACCTGCTCTTCTTTCTGCTCACTTTCTATCACTATCATCCACTATTTACCCACGCTAGCCAAATGTGCTCTAGTCCTGCTAACTGACTTTCTAAATACATATCAAATCTGTGTGCCTGCCTTCCACCTCTTCACCTAGACCACTGCAGGGACTATGTAAATCAGGCCTCCCTCAGCTCCATCCTCCACTGCTGTAACAAGCTCCTAACAAATGCAAATATGACCATGCCATTCTCTGCCAAAAAATCTGTCATTATTTCATGGATCTAAATGAAACCAAATTAGTGTTTCTGAGCATATTGAGATTCACCAACTAATAGAGACACTAGTAATTCTCAAACCAAATGGATTTCTTTTTCTTTTGACCAGTTAGAATTTCCCATGGTACCTTTGTCTTCCATTAGAAAGCCATAAAGAATAACTATGCCCAGTTTTTATCCATCAAAGTCTAACAATGTTTTTGTTCCTTTCCAATTCCAATTGTATGTCCCTCTCTTCATAAAGTTTAGAGAACATTATCAATTTGGAAATGAAGAAATGGTTTGGCACAAGAACAAAACTCATATGAATGTAGGGTATAAAATGTGGATCAATACAAAATATTCAGTAGGGATGAGAAGGTCCAGTATCCAATATATTTGGTCTTGGCCAAACACAGCTTTCTATGAAAACCTCAAAAAATGCTTGAAAAGTTTCCATAAAATGGATTGAAAAAGCTCTACAGACTTCAAAGGTCTGTTTAAAATGTTTTGATGAGTTATGTGTAAATGAACATGCAGGTTAAATTTCCCTCTGAGTCCACATGCTCTTAAAACATCGAGGGGAAAGTGCTTTGCAAAACATGCTCTGGGTTTTTCTGAACTCAAAGAAGTTTGCAATATTCAACAAACCTAATGTGCCATTATCCATCTCTTCATCGGTGTCCTCACTAATTCAAAGCATGGTCGCTAGGCAGCAAGTGTCAGTATGAAAGGGTATGCAAAGGATTAAAATAAATGGAGACTGATTTTCTGCTCATCCAAAGGAGAGGGTGACTATCTTGGAAATATGAAAATTTTACTTGATCAATTACTGATTTAATCAACAAGTATATTCTTAAGCGCCTACTATATACCAGGGTCCAGGAGGGAATCGAAGAGTTACATGGTTCTTCCCTTGATTTTTCTGGGAGACAGAAAATAATATTTTTGCAACCTGGTAGAGAGTGTCCAAATGCACCCCAGCTATGGGGAAAATGGAGTAGGAAATAAAGAAAATGTTCACTTACACACATTCTCCAGCCTACAGAGCAAGAAACAGGCATACTGTGGCTGATGGACTCCTGAGGTAGTTGGGCTGGAAACCACATCCTCAGCCCTGTTCAGCATCTGCTGGTCCTGTATGTTCTGGATCTCAGTATCTCAGCTTCCTGGCTAGAGCATCCCAGCTTGTCACTGGAGTTATGGAAAGTTCAGATTGCCAAATACTGTTGACTGCCTCAAATGGAGAACCATCTGGCTTAGAAATCCACTTTGTCTGCAGTCAGCCTGGTGACAAAACCAAGAGATACATAAATTAAGGCTTTCCAGCTTTTAAATAAAAGTTACCAGTTCCCCTTTGTTGAACATGCTGGTCAAAATTCCCTGTTACTCAAGATCTTGGTCCCAAGTCATATGAGAATCTGCCCAATTCAAACATGGCTGCTACTAATTAATATTTTTTAAAGGTCCCAAGCTCATCTACATTTTCCTGATTAGAAATAAAATGTGATCATCTCACTGTCCCCCAGTGGGGGACAGAAAGGAAATAAAAATGATTACAGGATATGGAGCCCTTTGGTTATAGGCATTTTGAGAGCAGGGACCTCATGTTCTTTTTTTTTTTTTTTTAATGCTTTCCTATAATGCCTGATTCAAAAGCCACCATTTATTAAGTAATAAAAACCCCCAACATTAAAATCAAGGCTAAAGAGGGAAGGGCAGAATAGTAGAGAAGATTGGGAAGGGGCATCCGAGAGGGAGGACTCCCTAGTGACAAAATACAACCTTCTCATCTTCTCCGGGTTTGTACTTTATTAGTCATTTTTGGCAAGGTAAGAATGAGACCATTCCCTATTGAGTGAAGCTACACATTTCGCTCCAAATCTCTAACATCCCCTGGACAGATTGAAAACAAACATGACAAGAGACTGAATGAAGGGAAAGAGACCTTGCTCTAGTAGTGTGGGCTGTTGCTATCAGTTCTTTCTTCAGCAACTGTCCCAGGGCGATTGAGTTACATTAGATGTTGTGGGAATGGATTGTTATGCTGGCAGCAGCCTTATGTTAGAGAAACTCTTCCCTAGATCAAGGGTTGCAAAATTGAACAAGAAGAAAAATGCATCAAAAAAAAACCTTCCAGAATGTGGAGGCTTTATTATTTCCATTTTGAATGGTGTTGCATCTTTGCCACAAATTTCAAGGTCACATGCTGAATTCTCAATGTTTGACCTGCTTCTGAGCTTCACAGAACAAAGACTCACCAAATCAGACTTTCCCAGGACATAAATTATGTCCAGGGAGTAAATCAGGCACCTCTGGAAGCGGCGCTGACTTTTTTAGGCCACCAGGACAACTATAACTGAATTACTGCTTCCGCAGAATAAGTAGACTCTTGTCTTGATCTGAAAGAGCTAATTCAGTTTCTTAAAGGGCCAAATCTAGTTTTGTTGTGTTGTTTTTCTTTTAATATACTGGAAGACTGGGTTCAACAGGATGTGCCAGAATACTATACCTAGGGTTGCATAGGTACATGTTGGATCAAGGCTGGACAGTCTGGTGGCCAGAGAATGTGATAAAGACTTACAATAGAGAGTCAGTGACCTTACTGATAGATATATTCCTGAAATACTACTCTTACTGCTCTCCTTATGCCCATTTACTCATCCATTAAACACAGTGGTCCTGGGTGGAACAAGAGGAAATGAGCAAGAAGGCAAGGGTCCCAAAGCTCCAGCCTTCAGACAGTGAAAACATCAGGAGAACACTATAGCTCTATGGCCTGAGGGCTAGGAGATGTCTCTTTTCTTACCTGAGCCCTACCTTGATCACAGAAATGTTGTGGTTAATTTTCTGGTTAAACAAAGAATGTTAAGTACTATATATGTGCTCAACTAGTACTACAAAGGATTTACATATGCGTACATTTAATTATTTAGTAAATTATTAAAGTTTTTAGGGAAAAAACTTAATTTCAGTAATAATTTTAAATTACTGAGCACCTTTAAACATAACAATATAAAAAGAATATAAGAAAGCAACAGGATACAGTGATAATACAATTAAATTTTTGGATAAGAGTTACACATGGTGTGCTTAATGTATTCAAAAAATTATTTCAAGTGCTTTATATTTTAAAAGTTTTATTTGTTCCTTACATATAAGTACATACTCTCAGAATAATAAAATTTGAAAGGATCTAGAGATTATTTAACCTGATCCCTTATTTTGTGTCCATTGGCTTCATATAGTCCATTGTACTGTATCTGTAAATGTTTCTACTTAAAAAATATTTTAAGAGACATTCATAATTTCATGACCTAATGACCTCCATGATAAATAATATAAAGTAAGATATTAAAACACAAATCTTCCACTCCACCATCCAGAAACAGACTGGAGGCCTCCCTTTCTGACTATTTCTTATGTTTATCAAGATATCTGTACATTCAGAAAGAGAGGCGCATGTTTTTTATCATGTTCTACCTTTTGATTCAGAAAGTGCTTTTTCAATTTATAATAAATTGTTAGAGTCATTCAAGATAAGCACAAATAGAGATTCTTCATTGTTTTAATAGTTGCATAGTACTTTATTGTATTACAGGCCATAATCTAGGTATTTATTTCTGTATTAATGAACGGCTAAATTCTTTCCTACTTTTCTCTATCACAAGCTAAACTAAAGTGAAGAATCTTACAAGTATATTTTTAAACCTTTTTCTGGGCTCTGGGTTAGATGTTGAAAGAGGAGATGCTAGATCAAAGACCTCCCATTTTGCTCACAAAGGCACTGATGCCCCCAGGATGGGTCTATAGAGATTAGCTTGATATAAACCCAAGGGCTCCGCGCCCCAGAAATGGGGAAAGAAAAGTGAACAGAGGAAAGTGAGGAATTAGAAATCAAAGACTCATGTTTCACTCTGAGAGTTAGGAACCTGTTTGGGGTGATGTGTGTCACTATCAAAGCCTTGCTACAAAAGAGGGGTTTTGGACGGGGTCAAGAGGCTGATGGAATGGAAGACCCACCAGGGTGAAATCAGGGAGCCTGGGCCCACTGTTTGATGGCAGCCACTGAGGACAGAGGAGGGGGAGGAATTGCAATTCAGACCAGAACAGGAAGAAGAAGAGAATGTTACAGGCGGCCAGGGGAGAAGAGCCCAGCCACACTGCAGCTTGTGAAGGCCAGACAAGAACCTGCTCTGAGGCGGCCCAGTTATTGCTCTGCTTTGTCTCCAAACCTTCAGTGAGAACTGCTACACCCCAAACCTCTGTGGTAGCAATACCTTGGGGAACAAAGCAAGGGAGAGACTGTGCCAAGTTCCAGGAGTTGCTGGCAAAGGCAGCAGAGGTTGAGTGGGGGTCGAGTGGGAAGGTGAAGGCAACAGCAGAGAAGCAACCTGTGCTTGGCTGACCCAGAGCAGAGACCAGCCTGTCTTATTCAAAAGTTCTAGAGTAGTGGTCCGCAAACTGCGGCTCGCAAGCCACATGCGGCTCTTTGGCCCCTTGAGTGTGGTTCTTCCACAAAACACCACGTGCGGGCGCGCACGTACAGTGCAATTGAAACTTCGTGGCCCATGCGCAGAAGTAGGTATTTTGTGGAAGAGCCACACTCAAGGGGCCAAAGAGCTGCATGTGGCTCGTGAGCCACAGTTTGCCGACCACTGTTCTAGAGGAAGGTGTCCTGGGAGAGGGAGACTGAGTCCAGAACCTTCTGTTTTACTAAAAAGGGGCTTCCCCTGAAGCAGACACATGGGCCATAAATGTATAGCCCTGTAATCTTATATCTTTTTAAATTTCAGCAAATGTCCAATAAACACATTCACCTCAAAATCCAATAGCAGCTTTAAGATGATTTTTAGTCACTCATTCCCTACCGCATAGATCTTAAAGTTTAATTACCCAATCTCTGTGCTAGTTCCAATTTGCTCCTGGTACTTCTCTCTCCTGCCAGCCTCTCACCTGTGCTCAGCCCCCAGCTGCCATGTAGCCTGACTCCTGCTGGCCTTGAGCCATGGCTGTCTTGCTGCTGTTGTTGACTGAGCTAGTCATTCTGCCAAATGCTCTGAGCCACAGCACATACCCATTTGGCATGGAGGGGGAGAAGTGAGGCATTTTTTCCCTCTGTGAGATCCCTTTTTCTTGACTCTCACCTTCCTTTCCTTTCCTTCCCTCTTCTCTCTCTTCTTTCCTCCTCCTCCTCCTCCTCCTCATTCTTCTTCTTCCTCTCCTTCTCTCTCTCTCTCTCTCTCTCTCTCTCTCTCTCTCTCTCTCTCTCTCTCTCCCCCCCCCCTCCCCTCCCTTCCCTCCCCTCCCCTCCTTGCAGTTCCTTGCTGCTCTAAGTCACAAGACAAAACAAATTTTTCCTCCAATAGCTCTCTAGGCACATATTATTCAGAAAAATATTGCCCATCCGACTTTGAGGTGGTGAAAAGACAGAAAAAGAAACTAGTGTATTCTCTAGGGAAGAACATGTCCAAAACTAAGATTCTTGCAGTCAATCCTTCCATATGTCCTTGCTAACAAATATTGCAACACTAATTATACTGTTCCTGCTCAGCCAACGAACTCTGGAGAATATTAACTTCAACACTTTCCCACCACCAAAAAACGTCTGATTTTCAGATACTAAAAGATTGCCTTTACTAGAATTTGAGGTCAGGAAGAACAGCTCCCTCTCTTGCTTGTCCTTTATACGTTAAGAGTTCAGATTCAGGGAGCAGTACTGCATACCTCCTACTTTAGGATCACTATGCACTGTGAAGCAGGATATCTGGACTGCTCACGGCGAGCAGTGCAATCCCGGTCAATGACATGCTGCCAGGAAGATAAGAGCATTTGTGAAATGAGAGGATTTTGAGGGGCAAATGGCACACCAGAAAGTGGATAGATTCTCACCACTTGAGCATCAGTTTCTTGGTCACATGTGAAGAGTCATACCCCCCTCCGAGAATTAAATACTCAGTGTGTGCAACATGAACAGTAAAATAACTGACCCATGAAGGGCGCTCAGGTCTGTGAATGCTTATTGCTTTGGTCTGTGAGGCTCTGGGATTTGTGACAGCTTGCCACATTCTCATCCTTCCCTCTTACCAGGATCTATTATATAGGGGGTCCAAAAAATGTATACACACCTTAACAGTTGATAACTCACTTAATTTTCACTCCTTTTCAGGTTTAACTGATTTGCAATAATGGGTGAAGCCAGACTAAGCTTTGAACAAAGAAATTTATCCTAAAGTGCCCCTAGACTTTTTTTATGGGGATACATAAATGATAAAGTTTGCAGCACA